CATTTAAAAATGTTGGAAATGTCTCTACTTCTTTGCTACTTCTAGTATATTCACACCATTATAAAGTTTTTCCCTTCCCTCCTTTTACTTTTTGGTTTTCCCTGTTATATAAAGTACTCTTGAACTGCCAGTTAAAAGAAGTCTTAAAAAACAAGTTGTTCTAGACAACATCAACAAAATCCTCCAAAACCAAGAGTAAGCTCATTTTTCAAAATGTGGCCCTGAGGTATAAAACAAACCAAACAGAAAGGACACAAACACAACAGCTCTAGGAAAGCAGATAGATATCTTGAGCTACGCTTCTCTTGTAAAGAAAATAAAGCCAAAAGAACTGTGAGAGCAGCCTGACAGCTTTTTTTAGTGGAAAGTGGCAATAGGAAGATTAGTTTGTTGCAAGTGAATACCATACAGGCTCTAATATCAATGGTTAAGTATTAATGATAATTGAAACCCATGGCATTTTAGGAGGGTTTGTCTTAACAATTTATCCTGTTATCATCCTTAAGCCACTGCTGATAGAGTGATCCAAGGAAATCTGTGGAGGTGCACAGACTCAGAGGAGCATTCCTAGACCAAGAGTAAGAGTAAGAAGATCAAGCTCTCTGCTTCCCTACAAATATTCCAGACAGCCTTAATCACTTAGCATTTCATAGTTGTCATGTTAATGTGGTATAATAGTTCCTTCATGTTTAGAAACCTGGACAAATATCCTGGAAAATTCTAGGTTTAAGGCAAGCCAGAAATGTGAAATGGATGTTGTAAAATTAAGAGATCCTGTGAAGACAAGGCTTGTACAGCATGCAGTATATTTTAATCATATACCAACTTCCTGTATTTGTGCCACCACCACACAATTCTTGCTTTCTTTATTTTGACTCAGCCACAAGGTAATTCTTGGTCATACTCTGTCAAGGCAATTTTTTAATGTAGAGCAGAGGTCAGGATGAGCACAAGACATTCTCTTTCCAGGAATCCTGATGCAGGTAATCTGTTTTTTGAGTCACTTTTTTAGACATATGCTCAGTAGACTGGCTTTGCAACACAGTCTGCCAGCTGTTCATCTAGCCAGAAGAACTTGAGTAAGACACGGGTAGATAGGACAGATCAGGTCTGCTGATCTAAAAAACTTATGCAAATATTTGACTTCTCCTTTGAATGACAAAGAGTACAGACAACTTCACAAATATAGGGAACTGTTCCTTACCTTATTAGGTAAGCCCTAATAATCCCCTTTTTTCTGAACTTATTATCTGAGACATGTAAGGAATATGTTTTTTTCTGTTTGACTTCTTTATAATGCAGTTGCTTTACAGTTTGAAAAAACTTGACCTAACTAGACCAAAACTGTCTTATTTAAATTATGCACAATGATGTGGTCTCTTAAGTTCTTGAAACTTAAATTTGGGCGAAATGACCACTAATTTGTCTAAAGGACAAATAGTTTGTTTGCCCATAGTTCAGAAAGAATGAGCTCACATTATAGAGGGAAATCAAATTTTATCTTTGTCATGATTCATAAACTGGAAGGTATACAATTCAAATTTGGACAATTCTATTAGAAGATTCCTGCTGATCTTGATCTCTCTCGGCCTGTAATGTAGTTACAGATTAAAATTATGTGTGTGTATTCATACAATGTCTAGTCCAAAACATGGCAAAGAATCTCTGTGCTGTCTTTAATGGGAAATAAACCAGGCTCTTACTTTGTCTAATGGAAAGTAAATTTCTTGTTTATAATACACCTGTAACTATCTAATTGTAAATAATTTTCCCCAGCTACAGCATGTATTATTATTCTGTTTTTCTTAACTAAAACAAGTACTTCTGGCATAGCTTTTATTTCCTGCACAACATATTCTTTTCTTACAGAATGTGCACACTCAGAAATGTATTTGCTGTCTGAATGGCAAATAACTGTTACACAGATGGAAAATAGACGTTATAATCAAAAAGCACATTCTGCTTTTAGCCTTACCAATTTATGGTTCAATAAAGTGCAGGATTTAGTGTCTGAACCCATATCAGAATCTAATTTACAAAAATATTCCATATATAATTAATACCCTTTCAGCCTTCAGAATAGCAGGCAAGTAAAAAAAAAAAAATTGAAGTGAAAAACAGCATGATATCTATGAAGCTGTTTTCCAAGTCAAATTTTGAATGGCAGAAAAGACATTGCAATTTTTTGCTGAAAGTAGAACCATATAATTTCATTGATCCAGTTCTTATGTAGCTTCAAATACTTCATCAAAAATCCAACTGTTTTTATTCAATTCAAATCTGACCTCCTCTAGTACAATTTAAATGTTAAATAAATGAAGATAAAACACTTACTTAGGACTGAATTTTCTACCATTGTGAACAATAAGTTCTTTTTTACCCAGCAGGTAGTCCTGTTAGCTAATGACATCAGTACACCTATTTGAAATGACACCAGGAGTTGATTTAGCCCAACACCCTATTGCCATCAGTGGCCAAAACAAAAAATGCTTGTTTGCACTTTCAGTGCAAGATACTACATGAAGTGTGTGTGATTCCCAGAACTGCATAACACAGTTTTTAATTTCTCATCCTTTAAGCTAAATTACATATATCATTACACACTTTGCAGAGTCTGACCTGGACTATCATCTTGCCATTTTCACTAAGTAGAATAAAAATCAAGGTATCAATGTTATAGATAATTGTGTTACTGTAAAAATTAATCTAATGATTTTGGGATTTCATTTTTTAACTTTCTGCTTAGTCTGTACATCATTTGAGTTGCATTTTTTAATGCAAGAAAGATAACATTAATATTGAATTGAATAAAATCACAGTTGACAAAACATACAGGTTTATATTTATGGCCCAAATACCATTTCAAAATTTCATCTTGGTATTTTGTTTTGTCTTTTTTAATAGAAAAAAAATATAGATTTTTTTAGAATAACCAACACTCTAGAGACTTTTAAGTGTAGAATATCTACATTATTTTATCAAAATATCTGGTATAAATATCTCTGAGTTTTATGCCAGAAATAAGGAAGATGGACTTTCAGGCAAAGCACAGATAGCAGTAATCTCAGTCTTCAATCTATCTTGACGCCAACATTATACAAGTTTGTCTAATTAATGCTTTCACAGAAAAGATGGAAAAGGACAACAGAGATACTTTCTCAAACTTCAGGGACCAGATTTTAACTGAGTTCCTATTGTTTTAAACATTATCTGTGATTGATATTTACCAACATAAAAGAGGAAATAACTGTATTGGCTTTACTGAAATGTTAAGGAGTAATGGTTTTGTTTTGATTTTAGCCAGATCCTAGATATGGATATTATTACAAAAGTTTGCTTGTAAAATTTGCTAAGCAGTGTCCATAGAGAGTTTTTAAATTAACACTGTTCATATGTAGCTAGTTATGATTATTTTGGGTGATTACTGAAAGAGTTTTATGACACAATATTCTGTATTAGTTATGTAAGTCATTATATTAGCTAATGGTTTAATGTTCAGATTTTATTTAAATATTTGTTTTGAAATTCCTTTTTGAAAATTGAAATTCATATTTTCTGAACATATCTCACTATGTCTTTTGGCACAATAAAAAATTAATTTCCTCTACAAATTTCTGACATATTTCATGGAAACTCAATTGCAATAGAATTTGCCTCAACTTATGATGCTTAGGGAACCACGTTTTGGTTGGTTTTATGGTGTTAAATGAGCCTAAATTTGCAAAAAAGGTTTACTCACACACATAAAAATAACAAATGTTGCTTTGTCCTCGGACATTTATTTTTTTTTTTGAGCTCCTATTTCTGTTTCCTTCGTTCAGAGCAAGCATATACACTTACTTTGTATCTTTACTCTTTATTACCCACAAAAATGTTCTGGGTTTTTTTCACTTTGTCCTGTACACCATCTCCAGTTGCTGTCTCCTTAAATTCACAACAATAACTTAGATTAGAGACTGGATATAAAATGGGAGTGGATTTTATACTGCAGGGAAAACAAGTGAAACAGAAACCCACATGGAGAGCAGTTTTTGGCCCAAGTGGGAGCTGGTGAGCTCAGGATTTCAATGAATCACAGCCTGGGAGCTCACAGCAGCACTTTTATTGCTTGTGCTGCTGGGGCTGCAAAGGCAGCTCATGCCCTGCCCTGCCACATCTCCTAGTGGGATTACTCTCTCTCACACACAGAAGACATGCAGGTGGTAGAGCCTTTTTTTCTCTTGGAAACAACAGCTACATAGCAAAAGTCAAGAAAAAAAATCCAGCTGGAGGGCTAGGGCTTGACATTTCACTTCCTTCTGCAGAACCAGTAGTGACATTGGGTACAGCTCTGTTAACCTGAGGAATGTTGCCTTACCATCCATGGAAAGTATTCATTTGGTTTTCAGTTTTATTTCATCTGTGATTTTTTTTTTTTTTGCCTGGAAAAATGCAGAAATTTAAATGGCACAAAGTTTAGAAGTGGCAGCAGTGAAGTTCTTTTGTTTAGAAGTGGCCTAATGAAGTTAATGAACATTTTCAAATATCTTTCTACTTCTTGGAGTACCACTGAAGCCATCTGAAATTCATTGTCCTCATAGAACAGGTGCAATTGTGAGGGACTGTCATCTTTAGACTGCCCTAGGTGTTGTTTCCTCACTCAAGCTAAAATTCATTTTCTGTCGTAGTGGGCACTAACTAATCTAAGCACCTTACTTATCCAGGTAGTTTCCCTAGGTTTGGTATACAGTCAGTGTTTAGTGAGGGTGACTCAGCCCTCAGAAGAGGTGCAGAGCATTCCAGGGGTGTTTATACCAAATTTTGGGTAAATGATGAATTTAGGATGCATGTGTTCCTTAGCTAAGTGTCCCATTTATGCATCTGGGGTGAACAGTGTAACTGTTGCACACTCCAATACAGATTTCACTAAAATTTTATGTCTAAAATATCACAAAGAAATGAACTAAATTCCGCATCACAGCTATAAAAATATTAAAATACACCTTTTTGTTTACTTCTAGCTTCCTCAGAGAACCCGCATGAGCACAGTAAGTACCAAGGCAATATAGAATATTGTTATTTTAACTTTCAGAAGGAAGGTATTTCCTTATTTTTACAAAGTTTTAGCAGCTTATGGTGGAATCCATCAATGCAAACCCACACAACACTTTGACTTATGAAACTGGTTTTCAATGGCTTGCTCTGTTAATGGAGGACCAAGTGTGTTTGACAGGTTCCACGTTGCATGGAAACTGCTTTCCAATTCAGCTGAGACCCACCTATGCCTTTTGTCTCCATGGCAGCTTCACACTGGGAAACAATCAAGGGGACCACAGATGGAGAAGGGTCTCTGCAATTTTCTGGCCAGGTCTCTGGTCCAAGTTTTAGAGGTTTATTTCTTGGTATGCTACAGTGCTCACCTGCTGAACAGCTACAAATCAGAATTAAACATATTTTTAACATTCCTCTGAAATATTTTCTGTCTCATAATGTTGGGATTTGGATAGCATACTATTTTTAAACAGCACAAAATTGCCTACACATTATATTGTAATGTGGAATAATATCCATTATTGTTAGTGTCTCACAATATATTTACGGGATCCCCATACTAGCTAACATGAAGAAAATTATCCCTAGACCAGCCAAACCCAGAACAAAGAAAAACATTTTTTCTTATCCTTTATGCAGGAGACTGGACATTTATTTGTAATTCTTCACAAGAAAACCCCACTTCTGTTGTAATAAAAACTGCCATAATTTCTGTATTAAACATCAAGGAGAAAATTTCTATACAGATCAGTGATAGCAATCACAATTCATACTAGAAGCAATTGATCATTTTAGAAATTATATTATATTTCTAAAAATCCACAGAAAATAATTAAACCACATTAAAAAGTTAAAAAAGAATTTATATTATTTTAATTTTATAGGGAAAAATAATTAAACATTGTTTCTTAAGAATTATAGCTATCAAAAAGTTCTTCTCAAGTATAGTGGGAATATGTAATGCAAAATCATCTTCTATAACTACAATGAGAATCTTTTCTTTTTAAAATCTTCTAAAAATAAAAAACCTTCTAATGTAGGGGTTCTTATTTTCAGAGCATGAACGTGTTAAACATGAAAAAGCTGCCTCTCAGACAAAGCCAGGTAGGTTTGGTGAAGTAACCTCCACTTCCACCCGGCTCCACTTAATAAGCATATGTGGGATCTGCAAAACTTGGACACTTCCTTGAGCTAGGCACAGGTTTTGCTTTGTGCCACTGGGTTTGTTCAGTGTCTTGGAGAGGAACAAAAATGAGGGTGACATTTAACTAAAAGGATTCAGCTGTCAGTTTTTGACTGTTCTTGTAACTTTTCTCACTGGGTAGTAAAAAGCATTAGCAAAACCCATTTCCCAGAGTGTGAGGAAGGAATGCTTTAATGCCCTGCACTACGTCAAAGATGTGCACTGGGAATTAACCCTTCTCAACCCTTTCAGTAACTTAGTTATTACATTAAGTGAGTGTGGGCCCCCCAAAAAAGAGAAGCTACAATCTCATTGAGTACACACTCTGCAGTAGAGTCAGCCTCCAGCTCCTGAAGCTCAAAAGTAGCAGGAGCTGAACTCAGAATAGCGATACCAATCCTGGATTGACTGTGCACTTGGGTAAACTGTAAGTAATACCTGGCCGCAGTGAGCAGGACAAAGAGTCCCCCTTTCAAACCAGATCTCTGTTCTAATCAGTTTCTGGTTGTTTTTTGTTTTTTTTTCTTTTTGAGAAGGAAGGTACTCAAGAATTCACAGCTAGATCTGGTATGAATTAACAAGACTAAGAGGGTAACCTCATGTAAAACTTAGTAGTTTTCCAGTCCCCAGTCCAGAAGCAGTGAGGCCTGGAAAGAAAGTATCCACACCCAATAGACCTTTGCTTGAAGTGCTGCTGTTTGAACTTCACATTGAAATGAAGTGCTCATGAATAAGTGATTAAATAAACCATTTAAACCTTATGTGTTCATCAATAAGCAAACAGGCTTTATTTCATTTTTTTTTCCTATTTTCTTAAGAAATAAATTTATTCTATTTTTTAGTACATATCTCATTCATTTTTCTACCTTGTAAGTTAAATATTTTCATAGTAATTTTCAGATTTCTGGAAGCCTTGAGGATCTGATTTAGTGAAGATGTATTGGTTTTGAGCCAATAGGGAAAAAATATTTTTCTTCTTCTTTCTAAGTCACAGTGGCCAAGCTTTGTATTTAACTCATTGATCACTTTTTGTGTATTAACAGCTAGCAGAATGCTTCAGACATTAGATTAATTCAGCCAAGGCAAGAACGAGGAAGCCAAGCTTGGTGACCACAGTGGTGGGCAGAAAGTGGGTTGCCTGGAGGGGTAGTGTGATTACTCACCTTTCTTGCTAAATGAAATCAGTCCTGCTGCACAATTGGCCCAATCTCATCCACATAGCAGCAGGAAAATAAATTGCCTTGGTAGGGCATTCTCAAACATCACAAACCAGTATACTGGACTGATTAGGGTTTTACTCTCGCATACTACAGTACACTCACAGCCAAGCCCTTGGTGTTTAGGTGCTTGAAGGGAAAAAAAAAATAGGAAAATGCGTGCTAAATTTCTTTTAGCATAAAATCTCTATTCTCAGATGATAAATGGTTGCTTTGGAGAACAGTGGCTGTTTTGAGTTTCACTTGATGACTGGAAATATTAATCTGCAGGCACTGGTGGTAATAGTGCTTCTGCCTGCTGTGTGCCAAGGAGTGCTCTTGAGTTAACAGTTTGAATTATAAAAGCTTCATTCTGTACAAAACAGTGGCCTCCTTTTTCACCTTGATTCAATGCAGCTTCAAACCATTTTTCTTATGTCTCCTGCTATCAGACTGAGAAGTATCACATGACTGAAATACTATGGAATTTCAGAAAATATATTGGTCCCATAGGGAAAAGTTTAAATTAGAGTGTTTAGTGTATGTCAGGGAAAGAAAGCAAAGCAAGGGAATTCATTCCTTATGTAATTCTGCTGAAACTGCCTGCAATACACAGAGAAACTTTTACAGGGTTATTTTTTCCATTTAAATTAGATACATCAGACAAAAAATTAATATTAATGTTTGTAGGGCTACAAAACTGGAGCCCTGCAGAATAAATTCTCTTCAATGAAAGATTTCAGAATTTTAAACTTTGGGCTTAGTCAAAATCAGTATTTTTTTTAAAAATTCATAACATCTATTTTTTACTCATTATAGGTTTATGAGGTCCTCACAATTGTTTAATTTTGTATTTGAAAGACTCCCCATAGTAAAAAAAGAATGCATGAAAATTTAGAAATATTACTTCTGTTCTTGGCAAAATAATATGTATTATCCTCATCATATGTTTTTCTCTGCTTTTGCTCATATTGAATGTGGTGAACAGATTCATTTTGTGAAGCTTCCTAATGCCTTGAAGTGTATTCCCTTATAGACACTGTTCTCCTTAAGTCTGGATATTCTACTCCTTCAATTTCCCTTCTGGCTACAGCCAAAGGCTGGAAACTCAGAGAAAAAGCCAAGCAGCCACCACCTATAATTCTGCCAGGGTGTTCTCCAGTGGAATCAGCAGACCAATATATGCTGTGTGGTTAGATTGCAGAATAGGTAGGTGAATGGGCACCAAAGAATTACTGTGTTCATTCCCAGATGAATGCAAATCCAAAAGGCCTGTCCAATTTTCAAGATAAATTCATTCTGAGAAGAAACACTGCTTCTACTTCCAAATTAATCAGATTTGCCATCCACTCACAAACTTATTTCCTTATTTCCTCATGTATTTGTTATCCCACAGTTACAAAACAAATATTGCTGTACATTCTCAACAGAATTAGGAAAGGAAAAATATCTTATTTAGTGTTGAAAAGTGTCAGGATAATATCCAAAGAAAGAGAAGCCTTTTTATTTTTACTTGTCATTAATCCATGGCCTTTGTTTAAAGGCAGCATACCAAGTTTTCTTCTGTATTGGTACACAGAAAGTTTAATGACCCAATCTAAATTAGTGAAATGCACCATAATATGTTAAAGCTCCTCTAACAACAGAAAAAAAGACACTTTCACTCAATAAGTTGCATCTTCAAGCTGCTGGTGGTGCTATAAAACATCTCTAGTTCCGCAGATACTCACAACATGGAAATGAGATGTTTAATTCACATCTTTCATAAGAAACTGGCAGTAATAACAGCTGAATAAGGGGGATAAAAGTGCCCTATACTTAATACAAATTAAGAGAAATTAAATTGACATATACCAGGAAAAAAATGAAAAGCATAGCAATGCAGAGCTGTGTTTAATTTCCAAATAATAGAAAATATTAGCTAGAGAGCTTTATGCCTCATCAGTACTGATTTTCTTCCAGAAACAGGCCAAACAAGCAAGAGAAGGAGACCAAGAGATATCTGCCCAACCTGATCTCCACACAATCAGCTTTGATCTGATGCCTTACAGAGATCTTAGTGGAAAGGAAGGGACCAGAGGTGGATGGCTGCAAACTGCTTTCAGCAAGAGGAATGGCAAATACAGTCTAACTATGTCTTAAGCACATTTAAGAAGAATTTAGGAATAGGTATGGTTGTTGAAAGGTAGAGGTTAGGAGAAGAGCTTGAATTCAGTTATGGAAAAGACATTAAATGGAGTAGAGCTATAAAAGGATTAGGTGGAGTGAATTTAAAATCAACCAAACTGGGCCGAGAAGAAATCTGAACATAAATATCCCAGTTTCCACCTGACTGGGACGTTGGGAAGATAAAACAAACTGGATTAGAAAGTGCAATCCCACCAACTTTCTTGGAGAAGAGGAAGTTCAAGTCTGGTGGCCAATGTCAACATGGGTCCACATCATCTGAGAATTGTGCTGAGCAAATCCACAGGTGGCCCAAGAGCATGTGGGCTTGGGCAGTTTTTCCCATAAAATCAACAGAAGTTCAAGGCTGCTCCATGGTCTTGTGACAGATGTCCAGCTAGGTCTAGGTAGACTTGTCCAGTAGCAGGTGGTATGGACTGGCGTTTCAGATTGTCCCATGTGTCCCCCTGTGACCTGTTAAGTGCTTGGGCATCTCCATATATTTTTCATCTTCTGAGTGCAGACACAGGTGGATACCTCCACCTATGTTTGTAGTTAGGCAGTCTCTAAAGGTCTAGAAGGTTATCTAGAAGTTCTTAGCGTTAATACCAAAATACCAAACTGTTGGGATTTAGATACGCAGGAAGGTGCTGCTGGCAAAGGTGTAATGGATGCAGGAATAGGATGGCCTCCGCCTGAGTCCCTGCCTGAAAGACACTGAAGGGTATGTGGCTGTTTTCCAGCAGCTGAGACATTAGGCCCAGTAATTTACTTTTTCCATGAACATGATCTCACCTTGCAGTCAGAACTCATAATGCCTGCATGCTGTTTTACAGTGCTATAATGGGATAGTGATGCTGTAGGCATGCATTTATTTTGTCATTGTGAACCATTTGCATAATATCACCTATAGAAATATTTTTCCAATTATATGAACCTATGCTAACACATTGTGATTTTAACGCTGCTTTCACGATACAGAGGAGAAAATGAAACAACCAAAGACTATTCCCACTGAGAAGTCAGGTAAGAATAAGTGATTCTCTCCTGATTGATGAAGCAGGAGGGGGATATTAAACGCTCTTCAGCACTCATCCAGTGTAGTATATTTGCATTGCATTATTTTTTACAGTGTTTTGAAATATGTAACTGATAACAAAGCAAAACCACCAGAGTGGAAATTGCGGCTTCTGTTCTACTCAGAATTGTTTTTCCAATGACGAAGACAGGTCAAGGCCTTTCAGCTCCTTAGCTGCTTGTTCCAGCCTCTCATTAGCCAGAGATGGGCTAATGAAATGAAGTATAACTGTAAATCAGACCTCTGAAAGGATCCCAAATATTAGAATAAATTACCAGATGGATTAGGACTTTGGATCAGTCCTATGGAGAAAATATATCTGGGACTAAACTCTAAATCTTTGGGTTTTATCTGTGATTACGACCATATAGTTTTTTTTAAAGGAAAGCCGAAAAGAAAAAAAATCAAGTAACAATGTGTGTTTTAGAAGATGTGAAGAGTCAGGTAAGGAATTATAACATTATCATTACTGGCAGTCAACACAAAGCTGTCTGAACTTTAGGGATTCAGATGCTGTGCATCCCTGCACAAGTAGGCGAAGCTAAGAACAAGTGAGAACTAACTTTGATAAAATGATTGAATGTTAAAAAGAAAAGGGAAAAAAAGAGTATCTTTTTTCTTCTTTCTGTATCTAACTATTACAATTTTACCTCTTTTGTCTTCTGTAGCCCAGGCAAAATCAGCAAGTATGTTATTCTTACCTTAATCAGAAAAATTCCTTTAAAATTGTTGGATACATATATCTTATTTTACTTTTACATGAGGAAGCATGCCCTTGGCAATTTCTAGTTTTGCTTAAAATTATAGAGTCTTTATCACAATGTCTCCCATACCTTTCATTTAACACACTGTCTTGTCATTGCTATTTAAAAGCCCATTTGACATAACCAATTGCTTCAGTGCAGGAGTGAACTCATTCTACGCTTCCCATATCAAAAGACCCATCAACAAAACTTCATATAGGAATTACAAGTCTTTTAAAAATCACTATTAAAATTTCCTGGATTGAATAAATATTCCTGCTAAGTTAAAAAAAGAAAAATAGAAATTAATTTCATATAACTGCATCCTGAATTCTTCTCAGTCAAAAAGGACTCAAGTGTCAATACCTTAACTACCACACAACCTGCTCATTCATTTTCTATACCTTTGACACCTTCAGAATGCAGATTCAACTACAATAATAATAATTAAAACTGTCATTAATTGCCCAAATAATTTAATGATCAAAAAGTCCTGATATGGGAACCACTCTTCACTGAACTAATTTTTCATTCATGCTTCAGAAAAGCATTTCCCATTTGAAATTCTGTATGATGTCTTCATCTCAGCATTTCTCAACTTGTCTCCCCACCTGAAATCACAGTTACTGGGAGTTCAATTATTTATCTGAGTAGCAGAAAGGCTGAGGCATATTGCCCTTTTTTCTGAGGCCATTCACATTTTCAGCACTTTCCACTTTACAGCATGCTTTTGGATCCTCATTTCTTAAAAGGAAAGTGATGCACATTCCTTGAGCTGTGGGAACATCACCTGGAAACAAGGCCAGCAGAGCTGTCCATTGATTTCACAACCATAAATTTTATTTTGGCCTGTTTCCATCACATAGCTGCTACTGTGCTATGAGATCTGTGGGGTGGGGATTTTTCTAAGTCTGATTTTTGTTTGCTAGACCTATTTGAAAAAAAAAGAAGCTTCTTCAACTTTTCTATTTCCAACAACATAACATAAATTATATTTTTTTCAGTAATAAATATGAAGTAGAAAGATGGGAGGAGGGGTAGAGAAGCAGACATGTGGAGATGAGATGCATTTTCCAAACCTAAAAATAATTTATTCATATGTAATAATATGTGTCTAAGACTTTGGACACTTAAGTATATCTGAACCAAGAACAAAGAATGAGCGAATGGTTGCTCTGAATGAGTTTACTCTGCACTCTCCAATAATAAAACTTGAAAATAAATAAAAATTACATTTCAGAAATTGCAGAAGACCCTACAAACTTAATTCTTCTTTAAGACACATGCATGACTCTTAGTAGTATTAATAGTAGCTATATTTGTGAAGGTAAGTGCAGTACTAATGAACTTTGCTATTTTGTGGCAGATCCCTCAGTGGATAATCTTCTAATAACCCTTCAATTGTGGGTTTCTTTTTCAAAATAACAGCATGAAACAAGAGTTAATTCTGAAAAACATACATGCAATCCTTCTTACTAAAAAAAAAGAAATGTAACTTAAAAACATTATGGAAATTTTATTGTTATTCTGCTGGGTTTTTTTGGTTGTTTTTTTTTTTTTTGTTTTGAGCATGAAGCAGTCAGACATGAAAAAGATGTCCCCCTTACAAAACCAGGTAAGCACGCCTGCATTTTATTTTGCATATTTATTTTGAAAATATTATTTAAAGAAATAGTGAAATACAATTGCATATGACAAATGTCAAAACCATTGTCCTGTGATCTATTTTGATGTATGGAATGGCCCTGACATGCCATACCACAAACTGAATAGCCCAGTACATACTTGTAATGCTGCTCATCATTTTAAGATATAGATATATGTACACATCAAAGGTCAAAGCTCTGCCTCTGTAATTCCATTGATGTCAAAGGCATATGCCAGCAAAGACTTTGAACTGCTTTCTGAAACTGCTTACTGTAAATGGTTCCATTTTGCTAATTATTTGTGGGCGTCTGCCTTTTATTTGGACTTCACAAAACAGTTAACCTCCCAGGATGAGCAATACTTAAATTTTCACCCATTGCAGGCATCATGTGCTATAGGATTTAGATCTTGATCTGGCACCACCCATAATCTGTGGCAAAGGTCTCTGATATGACAGCTCATGCACAGTTGCACCTGCACATGCCAGAGAAAAATTGATGCTGGTATAGGAAGGAGCACTGTTCAGTTTCACTGTAGATTATCATCACTGGTTTAGAAAATATCTGCTCCATGCTTCTTCATGAAAGGAAATAAGTGAAGAATTAAAATTTTTATTGTTAATATTAGTCATCCTTAACTCTAGCAAAACAATTACAGTCTGTAAATGAGAACACCCCTACTAATATCATTCATTATTAGATTGTTATTAATTACTGTGAGATAAGTAAAATTATGTTGTGATAAGTGGAAACATATAGAACAAATAAAGCCATTCTCTGCCATAACAATATTATGCCAAACCTGACTGTTTTGACCATTTTTCTTTCTTATTTTTACTTCCCAGTCAAACCAAAAAACACTGCAAGTACGTGTAATGACTTATTTCTTATGGAATATAAACCTTCTTTTCAGATGCATGTTCTCTAAATTTGCATTTTTGCAATTTTGTCATGTTAGATAGTGCTATTTTCTTGCTTATACTACAGATACTCTTGTATTCTGTCTGCTTACTGACAGCCAAACACAACAAAATCAAGCACATTTATAATGCAATATTGTGAAGATGCAAGATTCAAACTCTGTTTGCAATTTTTGCTCCCTAGAAAATAATGTAAATTACAGGTAGCAAAATTGATATTCTGGTGGGCTTAGATTAGTGTAGATGTATAATTTATATTTATGCAAATATACTGTTTATTGAAAACAAGAAAATAGCATGCACCATAACTGAATTAGACAACCTTTTCCTTAATTCTTTTACCATTTGGAAATTACTTACATCATTAATTCACTAAGCATGTTGTTGGCCTTGTTCCAATAAAAACTTTTTTTAATAAAAAACCTAAACTAAATTAAAGAAGAGAAAGAAAGATTTCCAATTTAGATTAGTTTTAAGGAGGATTCAAGGGGAATTTGTCACATTGCAAAAACTTCCACTGAAGTCATGGGATAACGTCCTTTATAATGTCATTTTTAAGGAAGGCTTCTGCACGGCTGAAGACGGGGATCTATGCTTATTGTGGCATGGATTCTTGGTCAGACAAGAAGCAAAAGGACAGTGTTTATACTGCATGCTTTGAATTGTGAAAATGCCGAAGTATGGACCTTCAAAGATTAATTAGCTGTTGCTTCTTTAGCACAGGATCTGTGGAGGTTTTTTGGTGCTGTGCCTGGCACATCAAGACCAAACCATGTGTTATTCTGGTGCAAAGCAAAATCATTCACTTAAACTTCCTAGACCAGTCACCTGTGCTAGGTGCTTAAAGTTAGAGCAGATGAATACTTGCTCTTACACACCTGTAGAAAAACAGTGTTACTCTGAACCCCAGATGTAAAGTGAGTGTGAGCATAAGGCATTGAAATGTGCTTACACAGAAGGATCTCCTTCAGTCCTGAACTGCAATGTTCCATTTTTGAGTTGTTATTGCAAAATTATTACTTTTTGTGAAGCTATCCATGGGCTTATTTCCATTTTTGCCAGTATTTTAAGAAAATTTTGTTCTATTTAATTATATTAATCACTTTTGCTCAGTCTTCTTTTCTCTGGATTTGTTTACTGACATTTATGTAATGTCTTCTGCAGTGATTTATCTGAGAGACCCAGTGATGGCACTCAGTACTGTTAGAGGCTCATCACAGATTTAAGTGACTAATTCTTTATGTTTTCATCACAAAAATCACTGTCTACAATGATTTTTTATCAAGAGCTATATTACCCTGGTATATTGTGAATATAAGGAGTAGCCAGGATATTTTTCCCTTGACCTTTTCAGGGGGATGTTTGTACCATATTCTTGAGCTTATATTCTGCTGCTTGAAATTATTATAAAGGTTAACAGTGCCTTTAGAAAAAGAAAAAAAAAAATAAAAAAAAGAACAAGAAGGAAAAAACAGGAACAAGCAGACCCATGGTCATTTACAAAAGTAATTGTCTATTCAGTGCCCCTTTTTGAGTAAACCATGCTTAAATAGATCAAGCTTAAGATTGTCTATTTTTAAATTGATTGATTGTCTATTTTAAATTTATTTTCTCCACTTATAGTAGAACACTTAGTTGAATCACTGCCTTCTTTATTTATAGAGGTCTAAATAGCTTTGCTTCATGTATTTCTTAGTGAGGTGTATAGTGTACTTAACATACAAGCCATGTAGCTTTTGTGTAATTCAGTATGAGATGTAGCAATGGATATGAAATACTCACTGATTTTGGAGTACAGGTCCAGTGGAATGTAAAATAAATTAATACATTTATCCTGGTCTGAATTCATTCACACATTGTATCTTGTTCAGTCTTATTGTAAAAGTAAATGTGTTTTAAGTTAGTAAAGAAATTGGATCATTAGGGGATGCAGGTATAAACAGAAAGACAAGGCTGAACTTGAAAACCACCCAAATTAATATCACAGACAATTTCATGATAGTAACTTGCTGCCATGATCTAACCTGGCAGGCAAGTATACACTACACAGCCATTCACTCAATTTTATAAACAATTAATAAATAATTTTTCACTCTTTCTGTTTTAGTGTACAGGAGAGTCTATGACAGCCATTGACTATACATCAAACTTGAATGTGTAATGAAACAGAATTAACTCCCTGCATATTGATTAAAGACTCACAAGTTGGGAGACATTACCTTGAACAGAAAACAAAGCTGGTGGCAGATCTTACACATGCAGGAATACCAAACTGTAGTTTGCAGTCAAGAGGAAGAACATGTAGGCTGATATTTAAAAATGACCCTAAGAATTGGCAAATAATATTCCCGATTAGGTTTATAATAAAAGCCCCATAATAGGGGTAATATATGTCCCAATGTTCTCAAAGTGGAAGTTTGTTTATGCATTGAGAAGGGGAAATGGCCCTTACACTTCATACAACAAAGGGTCAAACCTATTGCCCTTCAGGCCAACAGTCTTCCCATACCTGACTATCCAAGGAAATCAGTTAATCCTAAATTAGGGTACATGCACATAACCGGGCCCATCCAAATCCCTCAATTAAGAAATGAGAGCATGAAACTCTTTCCTAGATTTAGTACCTTGGAAAAAATCTTCGTTTTCTTTCTTCTGTAAATGAAAAATCATATTAACTATTCCATGGGTCACAATTCAGTAATGTGTAATCTTTAAGAAGCTATGAGTAAGATCATAAGCAAAAAGGTAAATATTAAAGGACTTTAGCATGTCATCATTTAATAGCAGCAAAACTGGCATTTGCTGAATGCCCGTGGTGCCTAAGCATTAAGCACTGACATTTACAGGCCTCCTTATTGGCCAAAACTTGAGTAAAAGTATCCTGGGACGCGTTAGGGAAAATGATGCTTAATTGCTCAGTCTTCCTTTGGAAAAAGCATTGACTGAAACATTTTTACCTTGGTGTGAGCTCATATTCATCTGAAGCTAAAACTCAGCAGGAAGAAAGTACAGAGGTATCTCAGTCAAAGGAATACCTTTAAATGCTTTGTGATCTTATTCCTTTTCTGTCCTGCTCTAAGGAAAAGCGGCTTTGCTTTTTCTTTCAAATTGTATTCTTACATAAAACTGTGACTACTGAAGTAGTGATGGGCAAGACTTCTTGGATTCAAAGTTACAATGTAATTAATTTATTTGATTTAAAATGAGTGATAATGATTTACACCAGAGAATTTCTATCTGCTGGATGGACCAATTTTCATAAATTATTTTAGGTATTATAATAGCACAGAAGTGCTAGGTGGTGTGGAAAGATGTCATTAAAATCTCTCAAGAGATTTTTTTTCTTAAAAGGCAAGTGAAATTGCTAGTGTGGGAGAAACACTTAGGAGTCAATGCCAGCTATTCAAGGTCAGTGTCAGTCTTTGGCTGGGAAGTGTGGATGATAAGAAAAGAGAGGTAACAATTAAACTGAATACATTTTTTGGAAAATAGTACAGTCAGCTATAACCTTAAAGGCACACTTAAAAATGAGTCTGTTTAAATATCTGTTTGCTGGAAAGCTTTGTTTGGTGCAGTGTTTGCATTTGCAGGAATCATTGTATGCTGGATTATAGTACATCAAAGAGTGAGACTTTTAGCTGTCAGTGTGAAATTCTACCTACACGCTCATTGTTAAGGTACATTTGTTCGTAAATTAATACCCTGCAGAAAAGTTGCAGATAAAAAAGATCTATTTAAATGGTTGCTTGCCCTGAAAAAATATGGTACTGAAATTCTTGTTCTTTTCCTTCCCTTCCCTGCCCCCTTTCTCTTCATTACTGGCTATTTTCCTGGAGAACCAACAGCTGAAATCCCAACATCAGGTAAATATTGCATTTTTCTAGTATGCCTCATGGGAAGAGCTAATGAACATACCAGTGTTGATTAATGCATGTTGCTCACCAGTAAAGAACAGTGATAACATAAAGCTGCATGAGTCAAGTGACGGCACTGCAGCTACAGAGGTCTCTTCTTTCTATCTGATTATGTGATTTTTACTGTTCTCCCTCTGCAGCATGTTTTGGTGAGCTAGACACAGGTTATCCTCACTCAAAGAGCTGGTGTGAATCAAGTGACACATGTGCCAGAGGACACAGAAGAAAGTGTTATTACAACAGTTGGATGATGCAAAGTGCAAATGAACCATTTGAAGGCAGCCAGCTATTTTTCTGCTGTAGCCAGCAATGAATACTAAAATGGGCTCAGGTGCCTGAAGTCATATACTTTGCTTAATTTCAATCTGCCTTTATTGGTTGAATGGAGTCACAGACCAAATGCATTTGCAGCTGCAGAAAAAAAGATGTAGAAAAGGAAGAAGTGCATGCTCTAAGTGAATGTAGATGAGGAAAAACACCCTCCCAATAAAATAAATCACAATCTATTGCTGCAGGACTTCTGAATGATCACATATAGCAGTTCTAAAGGTCCATCTAGCTCTGTATCCTGGGGATTTTTGTTTGTTTATTTCTTTCAGATGTTTGAGATCACTCTGGGAAAGAGAGTAAGAAGTAAGCAATAGGCAGACTCCTTCCCTAGTGTATTTTGGCAAACAAACAAATCTGGCAGTAGCTAAGGAATTGCAGAATTCAAGCTGTAAACTCTTTATCAGGGTTTTTTTTAAACTACTTTGCAACCAGCAATATTCAAACAATTTCTAACCACTCTACACAAAGTCCAGAACTTCTAGTGCTACTAAGTGTAGCAGGCACTGTTGCAATGGTACAGGCATTATAAACATGCCATGAAACACATTTACCACAGTAATTCTTCCAGGGAAATTACCAGTGAGAGAATCTTTGCACAATGTACTTACTGTAAAAGCCCTGTATTTCTGATGCCTGTCACTTAATGTTATTTCTTTGCAAATCTTTCTAGTCACAAAAAAACCAAAGACAACCAAGGAAAAAGAAGGTAGGAATTTATTCTATGTGTACATATATATGTAGACGATCACAATAAAAATAGTATGAGATTGCAAATGTGCATGTATTGCTGTCTGAGGCAATCCCTAATATATCTATGTTAATTCTGAAATAATTTTACTTGAAAACTCTTGGTAAAATCTATTCAACAGTCAGTTTACTGAGCTTTAACTGTGCTACCTTTTCTTTGTAGAAAAAACAACTATGAAGAAACAGCTGAAAGATGAAAAAACTAAAGGTAATAAAGGGATAAAAATCACTGCAAATAGCAATAAAAATGCAAATATTCAGGTTTGGGGGATTTTATAAGATTAGAAAAAGGAGCTTTTTTAGTCTTTCTACATACATGCAAGTAAACCAAAATGATGAAATTGTACATAAATCCCCAGTAATTGAATGTGTGGTGCCTCCTTTGCATATGAGTATCAAAGATTACATCAGCAGATCCAGCGTGGCTGCAGCAGTGCCCTGCCTGTGACCCTCCCTGGCTGGCGCAGCAGGGACTGTCCAGCCCCAGCACTGCAGCCCAGCATTAGCCCAGGCTCCACCCAGTCTGCTCCAGTGCTCCCTAAAGAGGTAGTGCAAGGTTCATCTCTGTAGCTTCTCTGGAGCCTTAGGTCACCCGCTTCATCCCTTAAAATAACTTAACTGATACACAATAAGTACACAAGAAGCCCTTTTTTACACACAAGACAAACTTCATGATCACCCATATTCTAACCTCTTGGTCACAGCACTGCCTTGATTGTTTCCTCACAGTAATAGAGAAATAGAGAAATGCTTTCTGTTATACCTCTAAAGATAACTAATAGCAATAAATTACAGTATTTTATTAGGTAAGTGATTGAAGACATAAATATCTTCTCTACATTGGCTAAATACAATGATTTGCATATGCACACTGAAATCTCAAACCTCAAAGGACAGCAGTGGTGCTGGCACCAGTTCACTAAGCTACTTTCTAGAAGCAGTTTGCTTATATGGTTATACTGGACAGAAAATGTATCTGTTTAAATTATTTACTAGGAGAGTCAGGATTTAAAAAAATATGGCTTATAGAAATTCTTATTTGAGAGATTATTCCTAGAAACAAACATGTTTCTTATTGAAATTTGTTTCACTACTTTGGCCTGAAACTGTAGATTAATTTAGTATCTATATTTTTTAATGTGTCCCTCCAGTGAAAGAAGATCCACGACATCAAAACCTGACATCAGGTACACAATTTTACTTTGTTATAAAACATTCAGAAAGGTTGTAGTTTGTTGTTTGGTTTTGTTTGGTTTGTTTTGGGTAGTTTGTTTGGTTTTTTTAGGGGAGATCACACATTTTCACATTTCTTATTCAAGTCTATGAAACAAGATGTGCAACAAGAGCCAGGCAAATCAAATCCACAAATCTTGTTCCTGTGAAGAATGAATTGCTGAAATGGTATTGCTTTACCACCTTTCTAAATTTTTAAACACCTATTCATCTGATTACCTTACAAAACAAGAGGTCTGTAATTAATATGGCAGTGCAGAATTTAAAACTAATATTTCCTCCTCTTTTCCTAGAAAAATCTTTTCCACAACAAAGTCACATAGGGAGAAACATGTTCAGTTTGTTTTCTCTCACATTAATAAATATTGTCTCTCATCACAATCTGCCCCAGCTCCAGCAAAAATGGTGAAGAAGGGCATCTCCGGAGAAAATCTCCCTCTATTGTTTAATCATGTTCTTACTAGTTTACAGCAAGAGGAAATACATGATCCAAATTCTTGACTAATATAAATTAAATTAATAGCTATGACTTCTGTGGAACTGCATTAATTCATGACAGACAAGGATCAAAGCATTTAATCTCACCTGACATCTAACAGGTGTACACAGAAAATATGAGCTACATATGAATATGGTTCCTCCTAATGCAGCTTTGTAGTCTTAACTTACTGAGGAAAGTATTTAACTTCTAATTGTCCAGACTATTTTGTTGTATACGCTTTTTTGACTTCTTTACTGTAAATGGAATGATTTAGACTCCTACAATCATGATGTAAAATGTGTAACATATGTGCAGTTATATGTATCTATTTATTTAGAAATATATTTATCCATATGTACAAACTTTAAATCATAGAAAACTCAAAAAGATACCTAAGTATAAAACAAGTGAAGAACAATCTGTTTTCAAGGAAGAGAGAGTACAAATTAAGTGCTAAATAAAACTTGGATTTGTTACCATGTGTATTATACGAAAGTATTTGCACACATGGCTCACTTTGTTTTATAAAGGCAACTACATTTACAAAAAAGAACAGCTTTACCTTTTTTCATCTTATTTTCTTTAATCAGGAGCACAAAAATATGGAGTCAGATATATTTTATTCCTCTAGATTTGTATGTTATCAACTGACAGATACAGAAGACAGAATCCATGCCATCAAAAATGTATTGCTATTTAACACAGAATTTTTTATAGATCAGGAAGTGCTAATCACAATAATAATAATCAGTACACTAAACCGAAAATTTTGCCATGAGAGAAATGAATTCTTCTATGCATCAAAATCTCAAATTTAGTGTAAAACACAAATGTACTAAAAATTTTCTCTTGCTGGACTTTCGCTTGCCTACCACCCTCCTACAAAGTTTGCATCATTCAAAAACTGTTTCTGTGACTTTCATTTACATTACTGTTTGAATTAAACATGATTGTTTAATTCAGTTGTATGTTATCACTGGGCAATTATTCTCAACTGGACATTTCTCAGATCATAAGCAGCTCTGTGCAAAATAACTGGCTTTACAAACAGAACTTACTATGTAAGTGGTTTTAAAACATTTATTGTCCACCAAAAAGAATACTTAGTTTTCAGAAAATGGATGAAACGTTTCCAGAACATCAAAGCTACTCTTTTGGATGTTGTTTTTCAGCATTTGCTCAAATTGAGAATTTAAGTTTAGATCAAGTTCTGGGTCGTGCATACTTGAATTGGAACTTGATAACTTTTACCTGTTCTGTTTGCAGATTAAGCCTCTATTTTTCCCCAGTTCACTGAATACTAATTTTATATTTCTGATAAATGAGTGGAAAAGGATTTACACATCCTAAGCTAATCTAAAACTTTAAATAGAAAATTTTCATCCAGCCTTCAAAAGCTGAATAGATTCCCATGTTCTTAGATTTTGCTCAGAACTCTTCAACCTTTACCTCATATTAAAAAGCAATCAGATAAAGAAGATTAAGCAATTTTAAAAGCTGTATATAGCTGCAATTTTAGAATGCACCACATTTGAACAGAATTTTAAGCACTACTGTACCTTTCATAAATAATGGTGCAATGTGCAGTAGACACTAAATTTCACTGTAGATCTGCAAGCAATTAATTAGAATGCTTTCCTCTTCTTTTTTCTCTTCTAAATGTCACAGTTGACACCTGTACTGAGACTGAAATTTACCAACAGCAATAAAAAAGGGAATTCATGGAACTTCATTTTTATTTCTATCTTATAACAAATGTATTTGGAAGCACACATAAGCAGTTTTTTTTGACTATTGGAATGAAATTTAAGAAGCATAAAAATTCAACTCTCTAGTGAGGATTATCTACCATAATCTTTATATGAACAGCTGTACACTTATACATGTTATAGGTTTTTTCAAGGCTAACATCAGAGAAAGAAAATCTAAATGGAACAAAAGATCATTATATTTATCCTAAATACCTTCCAACTGCCCTCTTGAATAAAAACTCTGGAACTGATGTATATTGCCTTTATAATACAGAACACTGCTTAAAAACTCTGGAACTGACGTATATTGCCTTTATAATACAGAACACTGCTTATATGAACATACTACACAAGAACTTTTATGGAAGGAAATGCACCTCAGCAAGATTTTTCATCTACTTCTGCAATGATAGAGATTCTCAAATACAATACCTGTTCTCAAACATTTTCTATCATAAAGAGCAATCATTTCCTCATACTATCAATATATATTCAATGGCACATATTAATCACCACATGAAAACCTCAACAACTGCAGGGGCTGAATTAATTATGTGTCTTATAAGCATGTGGGAATTGGTATATTACTGAGGTTATTTCAGTGCTTTGCACTTTCTATCTAGTAATATATTTTCCAAAGAAAAGATAATTTCCAAATCTGCAAAAGCAGAAAGTTTTGTTTGATGTAAGGTTTGATATGACAGCCATTTGGGAGACTATGAAGGACGTTTCACCAGTGATGAGGGTATGTAAACTTGTCAGCAGTGCAATGTGTGAGATTTTTCCCATATATAATTATTTTCAAAAAGAATAATATAACTTAATTTTTCTTCCTTGATTCTGGAACATTTGAATAGTTTAGAGTAAAACATGATCTTTTTCATCATTCTGGAGTAGTAAATTTTGCCAAATTCATTAAGCACAAACACTGGTAATATTCTATAATGTAGAAGCATTGAACGACTTTAGAAATATTGCACAACAGTCAAAAAAGAAGGCAAGAACTTCATCTCTGCAGTGCAGATAACTCTCACCTATAGACAGGTGATGAACTGCAGATACCATATTCTCTACTCTATTGCCACCCAGTCTCTGTGTCTCAGGTGTATGTTCTGATATACTCTCAGCAATTTCTTCCAGAAATTCAGCTGTGTGAACTTGTACTGACTAGAATTTTCTCACCAGAATTCAGGAATATATCACTAATATTTATGTTGCTGTTTTCTGGACATAAGAGAATTGTTAGAATAACATTAGAAGGAACTGACACACTGAGAAGTTTCAGAATTTCTTGTAAAAGATCTGTTCTCATTTATTTACAAGACCTGTGTCTCTGTAGGTTATTCTCATTAAGATTTTCATCACACTCCAGTACAGGCCCTTGACAAAATGCAGCTGCAGGTACTTTGCTTTTAAAATTATAGAGACAATGATAGTTCCTTTATAGCTTTGTAGTCATTGTGCAGTCTCTAAGAGGTTAAGATGATACTCTTTCAAAGCCCTCTTCAACTGGAAAGCCTCAGTTTTCCAGTTTCTATTTTCCAGGAGGGCACTAGGACTTCCGAGTCACAAAATAATGCAGGTGGAGTGCAAGCTGCTTGTTCCTCTCAATTTTGCACAATTC